TAGTTAGACATCACGGTACCCTCCAGCCCCATTCTGTACTTTTACTCTTCATTGAGCTGTTTTTGACTCCACTCTTTCTCTCACCTATCAGCATGTCAGGCTGGATTTACCTTAAAATATATCCAGAAAGATCTGAATCCCTCACCTCTATGACCCATCTTCCACCACTCTAGCCTCTTTACTTTTACTTGAACATACTCCGCACACGCCTACTGCTGGGCCTTTGCACAAGCTGTGCCTATCTCGAGGAGCACTCTTCCCTTTCCTCAGATCTCCCCACAACGACTCCTACCTGCCTTCACCTGCTGCCCAGATCCACCACTCCCCATCTCACTTATCCTGCTTTTTTTTTTCCTCTGAAATGCTTTTCCTCACCTAACATACTATACATTTGCTTACCATCTATCTTCCCCTCTGGAATGTCAGCTCTTTGAAGGCAAGGATTTTTTTGTCTATTTTCTGCATTGCTGTAACCCCAAAGCCTAGAACAGTACCCAGAACAGGAATATTCTCATTATTTGTTGAAAAAGTAAATGGAGAAACTGAACTCTGGATTAGGGCAGAAAGACACCAGTTCCAAAGAGGGCAGGGAGGCAGAATGGTTATTATCCTTACATGAGTTAGAGGGGGAAAAAAAACCTTGGATGCATTGTCTCATTTCCCTGAAAAAGAAGAGTATGAACATGCCTGGGATCTTTACACACCAGAATCTCTCAGCATAGCCACCCCAGAAGGAATGCCCATATGTCAAACAGAGGGAGCTGGTTCTTATCTCCTATGGATACTTCTCCAGGGTTATGAGTGAAGAAAATGGCAGCCTACACTATTATCTTCTTTTAGGTAAAGTTGATTCAAGGCACCTGTGATAAAATTCCAATGACTTCTTTCTCATGTTCAACCCAAGAAAAAGATCTAACGCCAGAGGAAGAAGTGGTTTGGTTGGCCAAAATACTGGTGTATTTTGAGTGAGGTAAAGAGTTTTTAAGAGTTTTAAATCTGACTGTTCAGGACTTTCATGTTTAGAATCTAACCTGCTTGAGAGATGCAATTCTCTGTAATTAGGAAGATCGAATACAGGAAATGTGTCTGTGAAGAATACACAAATAGTGTTACAATAGAGCATAAGAAGAATATAGGTATCAGAAGTTTGGCTCAATAAACCTTCATTAGTTCCAGCTCTGCAATGGGACCTGGTGGTCACAGCAGAGTAAGACACAAGCATCCAGTGGGGAACCCTGCAGGGAAGGGATTCTACCTGGGAAAAGGTCCCTGACAAAGAACTTCAGGGAGGAAAGAAGGGGATGACATTCTAGGAGGGATTGCTATGGGCAAAACCTGGAAGGCAACAGTTGGCTCTAAAAAGTAGTGTTCCCTCACTACTGACATAGTCAGAAAGACTGAAACAGGTTTTCTTGAGAAAGTGTCATTTAAAAGGATGGCAGAAGCCCCAGGAAGCCTTCTCAAAAGCAAGCTGGGCTTTTCCTTCACATTGCTTGTCACAATTTATAATTACATACTCAGTTGGTGATGTTCTAATGCCAGTCTCTTTCACCATGCCATGCATGGGACAGACACAGAAGTTGTCACCTTGCTCACTACCACATGTTTTGTGGCTGGCACATCACATGTAATCAATAAATGTTGACTGAACAGGCAAGGGGAGGCTATACCTTTGAAAGATGGAACTAAAGAAAGGAACAGTGTGGCGCTGACAAAGAGAAGTGTGGGTAGCCCAAGGCCAGGAGTCCACACTTTAAATGCCAAGCTAGGGCCTTTAACTTGAAGGCTGGGCAATAAGCAGATCCCTGATACACATTTGCACAGGCAAATGGTTCAGAACAGAGGGCAGGCATGCATATGATTCAATAAAGATCTGAACACCTATTGTACAGCAAACGTTGTGCTAGATGCGGGGGATACTGCCCATCTGAGCTCTCAGCTTAGTGAGAAAAGACGGGCAGGACTTAAGATGACAAGAAACAAAACAAGGTAATTTTAAAAAGCTTAAGATGTGAAAGGGCCTGGGAAAGCCTCCCTGAGGAGGTTAACATTTGAGCTGAATTTTAAAGGATGTAGAATCATCCAAGGAAGAACTGGAAGTAGGATGCACCAAACCATGGGGACAGCTGAATCAAGAGCAGCAAAAAGGCTTTTGGAATTCTATGCTGTAAGCTCCCGGCCAGTGAATAAAGTCCTTCCTTTATAAACATGGTGTCTGGGTACTCTTTCTCTCCACTGGGCCTTGTCTTCCTGCAACATTTTATCTCCTTCCATTTTTTCTTTCATATAAATATATAGCATGAGATTTAATCCAGTTCATGTTGTACATGCTATTTTGAAACTTTGGGCAACATTTAACACATTTCTTTTGTTTTTTTCCTCTGCCTCCATTACCTGACCACATGACATTTTTATTTTGCTATTTGATATTTCTCATGTTTCTCAATCTTTTGTATAAGTCTAGCATAGCAGAACTATGTTGAGAATAATGTCCATATTGTAAGCTACCTACATAATTAGAAACTGAAGGTTAGGACAGAGAGTAGGAATGTAGGAACCACATTCTAATTCTGACTCTGTCCTCTAGCTCTCTGGAGACAGCCAAACTATTAACTTTTCTGAGGCTCATTTGCACTGTTCCTCCAGTAAAATGGAGATACACTAGTTCTATTTCCAAGTGTGGTAGATAACACAGAAGAAGGTATGTGTTCATGGTGCTTTCAGATACCATAAGCTCAGTAAATGGTTGCTATTTTTGCTATTAAAAAATTTGTCATAGGCTGGGTGCGGTGGCTAGCACTCTGGGGGGCCAAGGTGGGAGGAATGTTTGAGCTCAGGGGGTTGAGACCAGCCTGAGCAAAGGGAGACCCTGTCTGTACTAAAAAAAGAAAAATTAGCGGGTGTTGTGGTGGGTGCCTGTAGTCCCAGCTACTCAAAGTCCTGCCTAAGTTTCAAGAGCCTGTGCGGGGAGGGGGAACGAACAGAGTACAAGCGGTGGGGATTGAGGAAAATACAACACAAGGAAGATACAGAGAGGAAAGATGGGATCAAGAGGTCTGACTGAGCTGATGGCCGCAGCCAGCACCAAAGCACAAAATCAGCTTTATTTCATAGTATCTTGAGAGGGCTGTCTACAGGGAAGTAGCATAGACAATACAGGAAAGTAAGGAGCATAGACAAAAGACATATCTTTGGTCTTACAGTATGAATGGAAAATGTAAATGACTTTAATAAAGACAAATCATCCTATTTAAAAAAAAAAAAAAAAAGAGCAGCAAAAGGGTAGGACAAGAACAGGTTAAAGGGGCAGACGGGCTAGATCACATGAACTCCTACATGGTAAGGAGTTTGGGATCATTTTTCTAAATCCCATGCAAAAAAATAAAGGATCAAAGAGTAGAAAAAAGTTGAGGACTTCTTAGGGGATAGTAGTATGTATGGATGAGATAAACACTAATTCTCACTCATCCCTAAACCAAGAAGGAGAAATCTTTGAACCAAAAAAAGATAGAGCCCCGTGTTTTAGAGGCAGATAGACCCATCCCCAGAAAACCTGTGATGCCTGTTAAGTCCTCAAAGAGAACGGGGCGGGGTGTGTGTGTGTGTGTGTGTGTGTGTTATGTTTATCTGCATAGCCTCCTCATACCCAAAAGTTCGAAAATTATTTGGTAGAGACTCAGAGAATGGAAATGAAAAACGAGAGACTTACTGCCTAACAAAAATGGTGAGAGCAGAGGACTTTAGTTCATGGCACACCTTCAGTAATAAAGGGAAATAGTACTCATTAGAGGGAGACTTAGGGCTTTATGACCCAGGGAAGGAGGAGGAGTTCTACAAGCCGACTGGGATTCCAGGGACAAAGCTCAGAATTTTAGGTTGAACTGTTCTCCTAACAGGATGTAAAACCTCGGGCAGGCCACCTCCTCCTCCTCTGGGCTTCAGATTGCTTAAATTAAACTGAGGGAGCTGGAATTTTCACCACTGAGTTTCAAGTGAGTTCCAACTCTGTAGCTTTATACTCTAAAGTGCCCACCGTTCCCCTTCTCTGGCTGGTACTTCATGAATATCTACTGACGGAAGGAAGCCAAACTTCCCATTTTACGACACTGGACGCTGGAGCCTGAAGGGGTTGGGTGGCAGCTCAGGGACCAATAGCCAGTTATTGGCAGTTTGTGGAAAAGCCCTCTGCCCGGGGGCGTGGATACTCCCGAAATCTTGGGTAGAAAGAGCAACAAGGAGGCAGGGAGGAGGTGGTCGCAGCACAACTTTGGGGTAGAGGGTACAGGCGGGGTTCTTCCCTGCAATCCAGTGGGTATTAGATTGGCTAGCGCAGTTCTGGAATCATATTGCCCACGCTCAAACCCCAGTTCCACTGCACCTGTGTCTTTTTTCTTCAGTAAGAACAAAAACAGAGCCGGACTTAAAAGGCTGCTGCGAGATCAATGAAATACGCCATGCAAGGCTGCCTGAACGGTGCCTGATAGGTATAAGAGACTCAACAAATGCTCCCATTAGCGCTGCTTTGACCACTCCAGCAGAGCGCACCCTACCCCGAGAGGCAACTTTTCGGGAAGAGCCTCTTAAAGGCGCCCGTAAAATGGAAACACGTGGTGTGTGGTAAGAGCGACAGTAATAATTAGCAATAATAAATCCCAAATTACAAGCCGGACGCAACGAGCTCGGCACTTCCCTTGCCCATCTCGGGCATAGTTTGCGAATTACCCACGTGGGGGGGCTCCTCTGAGGTCCGGGTTCGGGCTTCAACCGTGACCTTGGACCCAGATTCTCTCAGCCTTGGTTTATTCATCCGCAAAACAGGGATGGCGACCACGTGCCCGGCCCGCCCCTGAGGGTCCCAACGTGGGCACCGTGGGCCATTCCTCGGGGTGCCGACACTGGCAAGTGGGGTCGCGGGGCGCCGAGGCCTGTGGGGGCTGCAAGGGCGGGGTGTTCCCTGCAGGCCCTCGTAGGCCGGTCTCCACGCAGCCTGCCCTTCTTACCTTCCTGCCGGCAGTAAGACATGGTTGGGCCCGGCGCTTACACCTTCCAGAAGCGCGACGGCGGTAGCAGCTTCACACCGCGACCTCCCTCTCCTGGGGCAAAGTAAGTACCTCCCAGGCCCGCGCGGACCCGCCTCCTTCAGGCCTGCCCGCCGCGCGCCTGCCTCCTGGCTGTACTAGCCCCGGCCCGGCCCACCTCAGTCGGAAACTACATTTCCCAGTAGGCCGCGCGCCCCCGGCAGTAGAAACTACATTTCCCAGAAAGGCTTGCAGTGCGCAGGCGTATCAGTGAGATACTGCGTGCTGTGTTCCGGCCGCCAAAGCGCCTGATCCTGGACTACATTTTCCAGGAGACCTGGCGAAGCGCGTGCGTAGAAAAGCTGAGGTCCACGGGGCGGTAACTCTAGCAAGTCTCTCCTGGTTCCCGGCTTCACGCGGATTTTCACGGATCGAGGATAAGAGGCCACTGGACTCCACGCTTTGGTCACCAACCTTCTTGCGAACAGAGCGAAGCGGCAGCAGCGAACCGGGTCCCACCATGGCCGCGAATGTGAGTGTCCCTTGTCTGCCTGGCCACACCCAGACTTCCCCATCACTGTGGGCTTCCTCTTCGCCCGAGGGGCCGCCGAGGTTCAATTTGCCGTCTGACCCTTGTCTTTGTGGCTGGCTCTCTACCTCTCTCTGGGCGTCCATTACTTGCCTCCCAGCAACTCATCTATCCGTTCGTCTTTTTCAGCCTGCCCAGACTTCTTTTATTCGCATTCTGTGGCCCACCTCATCCCGGTGTCTCAAGTTTGCAGACTTAGGAGGTGTTGCTCACTGCCCAGCGATCTACTTGTGCGCGGCGCCTCCCCGCGGTCCATCCTTGTATTCCCAATTCTGGCCTGGCTCTTGGAATATGAGAGTTGGACAGGACCTCAGACAGGGGGCCAGCTTCTTTGGGATGGTAGGGAGACTGAACCTGCCCGAGTGGAGCTGTCCAACAATGGACAGACGCGTCTGTCCAAGTGGAAAGTGAGCTCTCCGCCCTTTGGAGATACGGAAACCGAGGCTGTAATGCTGCGGAAGGGCACCGGCTGGGCTTGGGAGCAAAGGGGTTAGGATTATGGTGAGAAGGAGCATTCCTTTACCGACTCCTCCTCTTCCCAGCGGGGATTTGGTTAGAGAGGCCTTGGCTGAAGGTTATTCTGTCAAGTCTTCTCCCTGAAACTAGCCTTTCTCGGGAAACTTAATTTAACAGACCTAAGAGTACTTCTTATTGGGGTGCTGGGTGTGGGAGAAGCTGGTGACTCACCACTCCTCTGTGAAAAGGCTTCAGGGACCAGCCCAGGAGTACAGCCAGCAGTAGACACACCCTTGCTTCTGCTTTGGCAAAGTGTCTCAGCCACCCTCCCCTGGCCTGTTAAACCCCTTTTTCAGGCACCTCCTCTGTCCCTAAGCATCCTCTTTGCCTCCCACGCCCCTTGAGAGGATAGGGTGTGTGTCTCCCACAGTCCTAGTACGATCGGCCTCAGGTCGGTTTCGTCCACAGGCTGACATACTTTTGGACCCTCAGTAGAACTATAAGCCTTGAGTGTTGCACCTAGAAAGGCCTCAGAAGTGATCCATGACTCAGGGTCTGCTGGGGAGAGGGCAGTCAGGAGACCAGCCTGCCCCCAGCAGAATTTCCTAGCAGGGTAGGCCACCTGCCTAGGGTTTTGCTGCCACCTTGACATGCTGTGATATGGGAACATGCTGAACAGAGCCGGTTTTGGAGTCAAGCAGACCTGGAGCAAATCTAGATTTTTCTATTCAGTATAGCTGTGTGGCCTTATTGTCTCTAAGTATATATTGTCTAACGGAATCAGTTACTGTGAAATTTAAGGGAGAGTGCTTAGCATCGTGCCTGCTCTATGGTAGATATTAATACTTAGCACATGAGAAAAAAAAAAAAGAGGATATCCATGCAGTGTAGCACAGACGGTCCTGGTGGGCAAAGACTGTCCTGGGTATGTTGGGACCTGACCCCTCTCCAAGAAATGTAGATGCATTTGAGTATTCTGTGTTGTCAAGCCTTTGTCATCCAGTAGCTGTATGGTGTACATTTACAGGAGTCACTAGGCTGGGTGAAGAAGAAAGATCTGAGGATAGTGGGGTGGAATAGGGAGGCAACAGAACTCTTAATCAGTGTGACAACAGCAGTACCTGTAATGAAAGTGCTGTTACCCTGTGCATTTTATAAGTGAGTAAACAGAATCAGAGAGGTACAGCAACTTGCCCAGGGATAACAGCAGGTGAACATGGGATTCTAACTTTGTTTTGTCCATTTCCAGGGCTTATCTGTTAACCTCTGTTCCTACCACTCAATGCTCATTGCTTCTGATCCCCAAGTGGGTTGCACATATATAGATACACATTATGTATCTATGGATACATAATAGATACATATTATGTATGTCTTTATATAATATATATGTGTGTAGGGGCGGCACCTGTGGCTCAGTGGGTAGGGCGCCAGCCCCATATACCAAGGGTGGCGGGTTTGAACCCAGCCCTGCCCAAACTGCAACAACAACAACAACAAAAATAGCCAGGCATTGTGGTGGGCACCTGTAGTCCCAGCTACTCGGGATGCTAGGCAGGAGAATCACCTAAGACCAGGAGTTGGAGGTTGCTGTGAGCTGTGTGACACCACAACACTCTACTGAGGGCAATAAAGTGAGACTCTGTCTCTACCAAAATATATATATATATGTGTGTGTGTGTGTGTGTGAGAGAGAGAGAGAGAGAGTGTGTGTATAAATATACACATTTATAGAGAGATCCTCCATGATTTGGTTCAGACTCTGAGCTGGGTATGTCTTGTCACTGCCTACCTCACCTCACTCCTCCTCTAGCCTAAGGGGCACCCCTCAGTACTACTTTTCCTTCCTTTTAAGGCCATCTTTGAGCCCCTTATATTGATAACTGGCTGAAGAGAGCCCAGGAGGAAGACTGGTCATGTTGCTATTTACCGCTGGCTCCTAGCCTCCAGTCTGCCTGGATTTGAATCCTATCTTTACCCTTTCTAGGCTGTGTGATTTGCACAGATGGCTTAACTATTAAGCCTTGATTGTCTTACCTGTGAAATGGGGAAGTTATAGTGTCCCCCTCCGTGGGCTTGCCCTTGAATTGGCCTGTGATAGCCTGATGTATTTATTGTTGTCATCATTGTGATGGTTACCTCCATGCCTGTGAGAGTTCATTCTACTGATGTTTCCAAATGGTATAGAAAGTGAAGACTATTTCTGGATGTACAGACCTCTAGTCTTTGGATGCCTTGGCTGGTGGTATTCAGAGACAGTCAGAACTGATGTCAGCTTTGTTCAGCAACTCTGTCTTAAATCACTCCTCTGAGCCCCCAGTGCCAAGGATGGGGCCCAGCTTGGCTGGAGTGCCCATCTGGGAACCACTTTATTTCTCTGTGACTTTTGTCATCCCATCCCCATCCTTGGCACTGGCCCCAGTATTTGTTATAGGGAATCGGATAACATTCTTACTAGCTAACAAATGTGCGGTGCTTACCATGCTCTAAGCACCAAGCAGCCACTAATTATGATCTTTGCTTCTTACCACAGCCCAGTGTACTGGATTATTATCCCAATTTTGTTGATGAGAAAATGAGGGCATAGTGAAGTTAAATTGCTTGCCCAAGGCCCCGTAGCTGATATGTGGCACAGCCTGGATTCAAATCCAGTCCTCTGGCTCCAGAATTCTGCCCTTGAAGGAGACATTCCTGATGAGCAGTGCCTCCAAATCACACCTCTCTGATTGGGTGGACAGAGCTTGACAAAGCTCCACTGACCCTGGAGTTTGAGGCCTACTGTGAACATGCTCACACATGCCTAGCCGTCTCCTCTCCCTCCCTGCCTCCCATAACCCAGCAGAGCAGATAGGCAGCTGTTCCCTGAGAGCCATTCCCTACTTCTTACCGCTCCTCACACAGTTTCCCTTCTGGGATTCCCTTTCCCCGAGTCTGCCTCTGTGGTCCCACACAAATGCCCCTGCTTCCGAGAAGCCTGCCTTGGTACCCCACTTGGAAGGGGTCACTCCTTTAGTACTGAATCCACCTTTCTTACTACACACTCAACACGACCTCCGAGTATTATTTGTAAGTGACCCAACTGCCCTAAACATTATCTTACCCTTCTTCTGACCTCACAAGACCTAGCACAGCCCTCAGAAAGCTCAGTCACTATTTGCGAATTTAATTAAAAATATGTCTCTAATAACCTCTTTGTTAATTAGTATGGCATTTTCTTAAAAAGTTAAACATACGTCTTCTCTATGGTCCAGCAGTGGCACACCGAAGTGTATACCGAACAGAAATGAAAGCATATGTTTATATAAAGACTCATACATGAATGTGCATAGCAGCTTTATACGTAATAGCCAAAAGCTGGAAATAACCAGAATGACCATCCACTGCTACATGAATCAGTATATTGCAGTGTAGTCATAAATGGAATATTACTCCCACAAAAAGGACTATGACAAACAACACCATGTGGGTGAATCTCAAAAGCATTATGCTGAGACGAAAAGCTGGACCGAAAGGAGTTCGTGGTCTATGGTTACGTTTCCCTCCAGTTCTAGAAGAGATAAAACAAATATATAGTGACAAATTCAAATAGTTACCTGTAGGTGAGTGGTGGAGAATTGGCAGGAAAGGGCCACAAAAACTTTCTGGAGTGACAGAAATATTCTGCATCTTGCTTTTGATGTTGGTCACATGGTTTATGAAAAACCATCAAATTGCACATTAAATATTTAAGACTCAAAACAACTTCAGTATAAAGAAATAGCGAAATTCATTTTATTTTTAAAAACAAATTTTCATGCTGATTTTTTGATGTATGTTTTTTCCTTAGTATTCCAGTTCAGGTCCCAGAAAAGAACATGTCAAAATTACGACCAGCCCCCAGCCAGGCTTCCTGGAGCGGCTGAGCGAGACCTCGGGTGGGATGTTTGTGGGGCTCGTGACCTTCCTGCTCTCCTTCTTCTTAATTTTCACCAATGAGGTAAAATGTCTGGGGCCCCCAATGTAGACTGAGAGTCCCTGCAGTGTCAGGGAGCAAAAGCTGTGAATCTAAAAAGCTAGATTTAGTAATAAAAGGCCTAGGTTTTATGAAAGAGAAAGGGGTACTGTATTACTTAGAATTCTGTTGTGCTCCACCACGCAACAGACGTAAGTGGGAAGGGGCATGGATCAGTTCACACACCTGAAATCTGGGGGATAACACCCACTTCAGGCACAGCTGGATTCAGATGTTCATGCAGGGTCACCAGGAACCCTCTTGCCTAGTTCTCTCTGTTGTGGGGTTTTTCTTGGGCAGGCTCTTACTTTGTGGTGGCAAAGATAGCCCCAGAAACTCTAAGCTCACATCCAACCAGTTTGGCAATCCCTGAGAGAAGAGGAACCATCTCTTTCTAAATCAGTTTAGCAAAAGTTGTAGCAAGATCACTCAGTGTCCTGGCTTGGCTGTCAGAACCAAGCCCTGCGGCCAGGGACACATGATTTGGACAGTGGTTCAGCCTATGTAAACCACTTGGACTGGGGGTAGGGGATAGGAAAAGAAGGCAGAGAAGGGTACATGGCAGGCAGAAATGCCAGCTGTACACAGCATGAGGGAAGTGCTGAGATTGGTCAGGGTGGGCAGTGGGAAAGCAGAAATCCTAGGTTCCAATCCTGACTCACACTTGCCTAGTCTACCTCAGTTTTCCAATGGTAAAACGAGGAGATGGAGCTCAGTGTTTCCTGAGGCCCCAACCTGCACTGGTATTGCAGGAAGCACAATCATGTTGAGCCACCCCTGAGCTGCTGGAGTCCTCACTCCCCTTTGCTCACAGGGCCGTGCATTGAAGACGGCAACCTCGCTGACCGAAGGGCTGTCACTTGTGGTGTCCCCTGACAGCATCCACAGTGTGGCTCCAGAGAATGAAGGGAGGCTGGTGCACATCATTGGAGCCCTGCGGACATCCAAGGTAGGCTTGATGTGGTTACTGACCCCTGGGGGACTGAGGGCCCTTTGCTGGATGTTGTCAGCTGAGGATTTGAAAGCTTGCACCTCAAAGACGGACATACGTGGTGTGACTCCCGGCACCAACACTCCTAAGTCTCAGCATCTTCATCTATAAAATGAGGACAGTAATGGTAACAGGTTTTGAGCCAGTCTTGAAGATTTGGTGAGATTAGGTAGCTAACGTCTTGGCGAGGGGTCTGGCACTTGGTACGAGCTTTGCTAATAGGCACTCTCATCATTATATTAACACGCTACTAAATGGCCACAAACTGCCCTGGTAACCAGAGCTTTCTGTTCAACTAGTTCATTGTTGTTGGCACAATCCCCTGGGGCCATGCAGCCCAATTCAGTACTATTTGAGGGTCCTGGTCATAGGCAGGGTGTGTTAAGAACTTGTGACAGGCAGCTCATTTTGCGCACATGAAGCAGACACAGAATTTTGTGTTCTTATCCCCATTTATATTTATTTCTCTTCCTGTCTGGCTTCCCCTGAGCCAGGGATTTGAGGCTGATGTGAATCCTACCCTTACTTTTTTGGCTTTATTTGATTCTTGTTGAAGCTCTTGTCTGATCCAAACTATGGGGTCCATCTTCCGGCTGTGAAACTGCAGAGGCACGTGGAGATGTACCAATGGGTGGAAACTGAAGAGGACAGGTGAGCTGGGGCAAAGGGGGCACAGGAATTTGGGGAAAATGCAGGCGGCTTTCATTGTGATGCCCTTGAAATTCAGAGTATCCTATGCGAAAAATGAAATTATCCTCAAATTAATAACCAGTGATCTTTTATTTGGATATTGTAAAAATCCAAAGAAGAAAATCCCAGAAGAAAGTGGGATCGAGTAGCTTCCCCATCTGAGAAGTCCTGAGGATACAAGCGTGAGGCATGACCAGAGCCAGGCCTCAAACAGTATCACTGGGACCAGGGTCCCCACTCTTCTCAGTCTCTGTGCTCAGCTTTCCTTGTGTTAGTCCCATGATGGAGCAGAGGTGACCTTACAGTTTATATCCTGTCCATTCTGGCAGATGTATCAGGGCAAGCTGTAATTGGCCAGGCCGCGGTCTCCTAGAGTGAGGGTGGGCTGTGCATGAGGGGTGGGGAGGTGATGGGAAGAGCCAGAAGAAAGGCAGGCTTTGGGGGCCCCACAGGGCTGTCCTGGAGCAAAGGGCACAGCCAGATCCCTCAGCTCAGGGGCTCAGGCTGGACCTGTTGGTGTGAAGTCCAGAAGGCAGATTTTAGCTCCAGATGGGAGAGCACATTTCTCAGTCCCTTTGAAGAATGGCCTTTGAAAGGGCTCCCTGCCAGGGAGTGAGTGCCTTTCTCTGAGCTGGTGCAGACAGGCTTCTGCTCCATCTGGGGGGCTTACCTCATAGCCCCTAGGTTGCCAGTGGCTGGAGTTACTTAGAGATTAGACTGCTGGAATGACTGGGCTAACCCTGGGGCTGCCTCTGCTTCTCTGCAGGGAGTACACTGAGGACGGGCAGGTGAAGAAGGAGACGAGGTACTCCTACAGTGAGTACAGGGCCCCCTCACCTGGTCTCTGCCCATGGCCAAGGCTGATAACAGCAGGAGACAGTGGGGCTGTGGGCGGAGCTGTGAGAAGGACGCAGCACCAGGCATTGGGATTCCTGGTGCCATTCCTCAGAGCCCTGCCCTCCCTCCCACCCTGTGAGGGTCAGTGGGCCTCAACTGTTGCCATGGTTTCTGAGTTGTTCCCTCTCCCCAAACAGACACGGAATGGAGGTCAGAAATCATCAGCAGCAAAAACTTCGACCGAGAGATTGGCCACAAAAACCCCAGGTGAGGGCTGAACCAGACCTAAGGGCAGCCTTGCCTACGCTGGCAGGTCTCCAGCCTCAGTTTCTTCATCTGAATAATGGGACTGAGTTAATTCTGCCTCATTAGTTGATGACAATATGGGACATGGTTTTGAAGCTAAGTGCTGTGCTGGGCACTGGAAACACAGAGGCAAGACCCAACTCCCCTGACCCCAGCCAGACAAGCTCCCCTTGAACAAGTTACCAATGTAAGGGCTAGACTGAGTGCCTGAAGGGATTTGCATGGATGGTGCTAGGGCAACATTTTGTTAAAGGTTTGTCCTAGGAGGACAGGCAAAAGGGGCTTTTAGGAGGTGGTGGCATTTGATCTGGGCCTCAAGAGTTCAGCAGAGGGAAGTTAGCTCAGTGGCATGGGATGCTGAAGTGGGCATAACACTTGGGCTGGCTGGAGTGTGGGCCACCTGCAGTGATGGTCGGGGCTGTGGTAGGAAGATGGGAGTGCTTTGGATACTGTCTGGGCTAGGAGGGGTCAGGCAGGTGTGAAGTCCATGGAAGATCCATCTCATGGCTGATGGGTAGGGTTGGATAGACTATAGGAGCCCCCATAGTGGGGATGTTTCACAGCACAAACAACCCACAGGGACATAGACAGCTCCGCCACTGGTGCCCCATCTCTGACAGCTCCCTCTCTCTTCCACAGTGCAATGGCAGTGGAGTCATTTACAGCAAAAGCCCCATTTGTCCAAATTGGCAGGTTTTTCCTCTCAGCAGGTAAGTCTCAGGCCCTCCAGATGAGCTAGTGCCAACCCAGAGGCCTTTGCTTCCACTTGTCCCCCCCACAGGGGTGAGACTCCCCTGTCAACCCTCAGATGCTGAAAGGCACAGGGTTAGCTGGCACATTTCCCAGCATCGTACTTTGGGCTGGGGGCCAGAGGGAAGGTGAGGGCCTGAGGAAGTAAGGGCTGGCGTGGAAGCCCCTAGCCCAGCACAGCCCAGATAGGTCCCTCTGAATCCTGGGTTGTTCCAGGGAGCAGCCCCAGGCATTGCATCCTCATGCTGCTATTGTGCTGGTGTCTGTTGGACCAGACAGTGCTAAGACAGCCTTCCTCAGGCAGCCACCGGGCCAGTAGTAGAGACAAGGCTGCCCACTCATTCCGTAGGGCTCCACCTCTGAGCTTACTTAGTGCCAGGAAGGGCTTGTTGCAGGCCCCTGAGTGACTCCAGAGAGAAGTTTTTTCCATTCGCCACAGAAATCCTGGGGCTCTGAGCCCAGGCCTGACCCAGGAAGACAGGAGAGAAAACACTTAGGGCCTAGATGGCCAAGGGAGGGGGAAAGGTCAGGTGACCCAGAGCCAGGCCTGGCTGCCACCTGTCTGCTATTGCTAAGCTGGGCCTGCCCTCAAGTAGCCCTCAGTCCAGGAGGTGAGCCTGGCTTGGGCATGAATGACTGTAATCCAAAGTGGAAAGGCAAAGGGTTAATGCCACTCCTGGGGCTGTGGTCAGTCTGATTTGGTGGGATGAGGGCACAGGGGAGACTTCTAGGAAGAAATGGTGACTGAAATGGGACTGAGGTACCTGAGGAGAGCTGTGTCTGCCCATCCCAAGGGTGTGAATGAGGAGGTCGCAGCAGGGCTGAGTGTGGACATGCACCAGGAAGGGTGTCAGGCTGAGGAATTGTAGAGTGAGGTTTTCAAGTGACACACCATGGTTTCTAACCACACTGTTCCTCTCAGGTCTCATTGACAAAATCGACAACTTCAAGCCACTGAGCCTGGCCAAGCTGGAGGACCCTCATGTGGACATCATTCGCCGGGGAGACTTTTTCTACCACAGTGAAAACCCCAAGTATCCAGAGGTGCGTGGAGAGACGTGGGCCAAATTCCTGCTTCATTTGGATTCAGTCAAGTTGAATCCACAGTTGGACTTGGCCAAATGAATTGGAGGGGGAGAGGCCTTCTGGGTGATGGCACAGCCTGGGCACAGGTGTAGAGGTGGGAAAGGAGGATGAGGGATCACGGGGTTGAGGCATCCTAGACCCGAGCCCAGGCTGGCTACTTCCTGCTTCACTCTCCTCTCCTATCTTTCACCCCCAGGTTGGAGACCTGCGTGTCTCCTTTTCCTACGCTGGACTGAGCAGTGATGACCCAGACCTGGGCCCAGCTCATGTGGTAACCTGGCACTGGTTTCCCAGGGGCAGATAATGTTGTGATTCTGGACCTTCCTCAGGAAAGGCACATGCTCACATGAATAGGCCGTCGGACATGCTTTTGAGCAGTTTTAATGGTCATGCACAAACCCCAGGGGGAGAATGGCACTGGGAAGGGATCTCATAATTGTGCCTTTTGAGAGTTATTCTAATCACACGCAACCTCTCTGCCCAGCCCTCAAGTTTTTGATCTATAAATAATTGGTCTTAACATTCCTGATCCATGTGTGGTCCCACCCTAGCCCCTGCTCTGACCCCTACCTGAGGTCCTGGATGGATCTTTGAATGAAGCAGCTTAGCCAGAGCTGCAGGGGCTGGTGCACCCGGGTGGAAGTATGGAGAAGCCAGTGGGTCTTGCTCTTTTGGCTGTCACAGAGTCCCAGGAAGGTGGGCTGTGGCTCCATATGGTGCCACTTTTCCTCTGATCACCCTGGACTCTTAACACTGAATTCTCTAACCAGGTCACTGTGATTGCCCGGCAGCGGGGTGACCAGCTAGTCCCATATTCTACCAAGTCTGGAGACACCTTGCTGCTCCTGCACCATGGGGACTTCTCAGCAGAGGTAAGTTGCTACTGCTGCCCTGCCCATATGATGGAGGGACAGGTATGTCCTCCTCTTCCTTCCAGTGGCGTTTAATAAGCTCTCATGACTAGAGGTCATTGTGGGTGAACATTAGGGGAGTTAGGATTATGAGAATAGAGTTAAAGTTTTGTGATTTGGATCAGATATGTAGATAATAGGTGAGGACATAGCCTCTACAAAGAAATGGGTTGGTAAAAACAGATATATAAACATACCACATTGGGGGCTTCCCTAGACAGTTTGGCATGAACATTAAAAGACTTCAGGAAAAAGGTCTGCAAGGGCCTGACTTGAGAAAAAGGCATGAAAGTGCCTGGCCAAGTCTGACTTATTACCTACAAAGACTTTGTACTAAGGTCTTTGAAGGCAGTGAGCCATTTTAAGATTAACTAGAATGGAACGTACAACTGACTCATTGGACAAAAACAACTAGTTCTTATGGGCTGAGATAAAAGGAATCAGCTTCTTTCTCCCCAGCTCTCAGTATGAGTAGTAAGTCAACTAATCTGTCCGAAAGGAACATAGAGGATTGCCTGGGTTATATCTAGCTGCTAAGTCTATTTTTTTTTTTCTGTTGTTTCTGTAATCCTGTTAGTGATTAATAAGGTTTTGTTTGTTTGTTTGAGACACAGTCTCACTATGTCATCCTTGGTAGCGTGCCATGGTATCACAGCTCACAGCAACGTCAAACTCTTGGGCTTAAGCGATTCTCTTGCCTCAGCCTCCCAAGTAGTTGGGACTACAGGTGCCCACCATAATGCCTGGCTATTTTTTTGCTGTAATTGTCATTGTTTTAGCAGACCTGGGCCAGATTCGAACCCACCAGGCCTGGCATATGTGGCTGGCACCCTAACTACCAAGCTGTGGGCACCGAGCCAATTAATAAGTATTTTAAAAAGCAAAAATAATAAAAATGGCTACTAAAGGGTGATCAGGTGGGTGAGTTAGGATATGAGAAACCACAAAAATGACATACACTATTGTTACACACACCAGTTTACTGGTTAGAACATAATGAAAGTAATAAGAACTGAATATATTGAGAGTTTGGGGCCTACACTATTTGTCACATGGGGTAGCGTTGGACCCCTGGGCCCGCTTTTTAAATCTACACTTTGTCTCTATGTCTTTAGTTTCCTTCATTCCTTCAACACTACCAAGCACTGGGAGAGAACCTCAGAGTTGCTGGGGCAGGTCCCCAACGGGTTATAGCCTGTGACCAAGGCCATAAAAAGAAACAGGAATACATGTTGAGTCTCCCTTATCCAAAATGCTTGACCAATAGTGTTTCAGATTCTTTCAGATTATGGAATATTTGCATATACATAATGAGCTATCTTGGGGATGGAACTCAAATCTAAACACAAAATTTATTTTATGTTTCTAATGCACCTTATAGATGTAACCTAAAGGTAATTCTTTATAATATTTTTAATAATACATGCAACAAATTATATGAGGTCAGGTGTGGAATTTTCCACTGTGGTGTCAAAGATGTTTCAGGTTTTGGAGCATTTTAGAATTTATACTTTTGGATTAGGGGTGCTCAACCTGTAGTAACCCCTTCTGTGTGTAGGACTGTGCTGGGCACCAGGGATCGAATAATTAGCAAAGGAGACCCCGTCTCACAGACTTCCAGTCTCGTAGGGGAGAAATTAGTGAGTAATGACACATCATGCTGAGAGTTATGAAGGGGAGAACAAGTGCTCAGAGATAACAGACATCATAATAGGACATTATTATCTACAGTGGTCAGCGAGGACCCTTTGGTGAATGACATTTGTGCTTAAACCTAAATGATAAGAAGGGTCAATGGTGGAAGAATCGGGGGTCAGTCAGTAGTTCAGAAAAAAACTGCCCAGTTCAGGCAGGAAAGGGTTCACCTTGTCAGGGTGTCCAGACAGGCATGCCACCCACAGCTCCGAGAGCAGGAGGAACTTGGGCAGCAGCCACATTCCTTCAAGAGATCAGGAGGGCAGTGAAGGGTTTTGAGCTGGAGCCTCCCAGGATGGGTGAGTGGGGAGAATCACTCCCAAACAGAGGTCCTCAGCTCTTTAGGCATCCTTCTCCCTGTCTGTAAATGGAGAGGATCATGCCTCAACCAAATCCAGGGAAAAGGGATAGACTTCATCCCTTGTACTAATTAGTTTGATTCTGTGCCGTAGTTAACTTCAGCCAGGCGCAGTGGCTTACGCCTGTAGTCCCAGCACTTGGAAAGCCGAGGCAGGTGGACTACTTGAGCTCACAGGTTCAAGACCAGCCTGAGCCAGCGCAAGACTAAGTCTCTAAAAATAGCAGGGCGTTGTGACAGGTGCCTGTAGTCCCACCTATTTGGGAACCTGAGGCAAGAGGATCACTTGAACCCAAGAGTTTGAGATTGCTTTGAGCTAAGACACCATGGTATTCTACCAAGGGTGACCAAGTGATGCTCGCTCTGTCTCAAAAAAAAAAAAAAAAAGAAGAAGTTGGCTCGGCACCCGTAGCACAGTGGTTATGGTGCCAGCCACATACACTGAGGGTGGCGGATTTGAACCCTGCCCAGGCCAGCTAAACAACAATAATTGCAATAAAAAATAGCTGGGCATTATGGTAGGCACCTGTAATCCCAGCTATTTGGGAGGCTGAGGCAAGAGAATCGTCTAAGCCCAAGAGTTGGAGGTTGCTGTGAGCTGTGACGCCATGCATTCTACTGAGGGCAACATAGTAAAAGCCTGTCTCAAGAGAAAAAAAAAGTTAGCCTCTCTTTTCTAAGCCGGAAATCCTTCTATTCAACAGAAAAATATAGTTTTTGGTTTTTTTTTTCTGTTGTGGTTTAAACATAGTGTATCAGTGGTGGGACATTCTATACTTGGCCTGGGACAAGATTGCTGGATTTTTAGTCCAGAAGGAGTCCAGGCAATGGGCAGGTGTCAGGGATTAGCTGTGACCTTTTTTTCTATTATTAGGCCCTCAGCTGCCATCCATTTCACCAGATTTCCAGACCTGTGGTAATACATGGGTCTCAAGTACTCCTTGTACCTGGTCAGGACTTGGGTGTGGCCAGGCTGTTGCCCAGGCACCCAGTTACCAACTTCAGTGTGGGGCTGCCGCGTCCCAGCCTGGTGGGCCATGAGTCAGCCTTTCCATGGCAGCTCTCAGAGCTCCGTAAGGAGTTTCTAAAATTAGGAGGTTCTGTCCAGGCCTGGTTCTCTCTCCCAGGGATATTGCCCAGCTCCAGGCTTCTAGCCTTCTGCAGGCAGAGGCTCAGGTCTCAGAGCTGCCCTTCTAAAAAGGAGTGGATGGGGCTTATGGCTTGGATCTGTGGTCCCCAACCCCCAGGCCAAGGTCTGCTACTGGTCCCTGGCCTATTAGGAACCAGACCATACAACAGGGAGCGAATGGCTGGCTAATGAGCACAGCTTCATCTGTATTTATAGCCACTCCCCACTGTTTGCATCACCACCTGAGCTGCACCCCCATCAGGTCAGCAGCAGCATTAGATTCTCATAGGAGCACAAACCCTACTGTAAACTGGGCATGTTAAGGATTGAAGTTGAGCACTCCACAAGAGCATCTCAGGCCTGGTCTGAGGTGGAGCTGAGGCAGTGACGCTAGCCCTGGGGAGTGGCTACAGATAGAGAACGGGACTATCTAGATGCAAAAAAACAAGCTCAGGCTCCTACACACTCTGCTTTGTGGTGAGTTGTGCAATGTGCTTGAATCATCCCAAACCACCCCCCTGCCCTAGTACATGCAAAAATTGTCTTCCATGAAACCAGTTTCTGGTGCCAGAAAGGTTGAGGACCGCTGGCTTAGATGACTCCCCAGAAGGGCAAGCTCTGAGATGCGGGTGGGCAGGTAGGCTCCTCATCAGTCTGAGCCCCTTGCTGTTTAGCAGTCCCAAATCCCTGCATTCCTCCCATCCCAGCTATTCCCACCCCTGACACATAAGGTCTGAGGTCTCTGCCAAGTGGTAGAAAAGACCCAGAGCCCAGGAGCTGAGAAGACAGCTCCTAGGCCCTAAAGTGGGATGCCCGGATTCTAGTCGCAGGGCAGAAGAGTATAGTGGTCTAAGTGAGCACTGCAGTGGACCCCAGCTCCAGCCTCTGCTCTTCCTCCCACCCACTCCGAGACCTTGAGCCAGTCTATTGTTTTATGCTCCTTCGACCCATTTCTGTATCTAGGAAATGGATATTTCGGACAGTATTACTCTCACCATCTCTGATGTGGTTGTTGAAGAGCGTTCATTCTTTCATTAAGTTTTTTTGAGCACCAGGGACTCATGGACATGAACCCTGCTCTCAGGAACTTACAGTTTAGTTAACTGCTTGGGGTGAAACCCTGGGCACATTACTTATCTTCTCAGAGCCTCAGTTTCCTCAATTTTAGAATGGGGATGAGTGTTCCTACCTCACTGAGTTATTCTGAGGATAAGGAAGATAATACTATAAAGGGAAAATAGTGACAGGTACATAGTAAGCAATAAATGTTATCTATTGTTGTTGTTGTAGATTAGACCAGGGCCCTGATTAGATCGGGGCCAGGGAAAGCTCTCTGAAGAAATGGCACCGAAGCCAAGACTTGGAGAATGTATAGGAGCTGACCAAGCACAAGTGTGGGCAAATGCATCATCAGCAAAGCAGACCACACGTGCAAGGGCCTGGAGGCAAGAGGACTGGCAGCCAGTGGGGCTGGGGCCCAGGCAGCAGAGTCAGAGGGGGTTGCTGTGTGGAGAACAAGGTGGGGTGACAGAAGCAGGGGGGCCAGTGAGAGGGAGGCTCCTACGACGGTCCATATGAGAGCTGGTGATGGCATAGATTAGGGGCTGAGCAGTAGTGAGACACTTGGGGAAATGTGCATGCAGAGTTAGAGCTGAGAGGACTTGCTGAGGGGCTGCATGGTGGCAGTGAGGGAAGGAGCAGGCCACGTCTGACCCCAGGTGTCGGTGTGTGCAGGTGTGGTCATGCAGTGTGCTGAGATGAAGAAGACTCCAGTGTCATTGCTGGACGTGTCGAGGTAGCAGGTCTGCAGTGGGAGCTACAGGGCTATGAGGCCCGGAAAAGGACCAAACCTGCAACTTTAAATTTGAGGGTGGGTCACAGGCACATGTGGGCCAAGGAGCTATGGGATGTCCTGGGGAGAGAGTGTAGACTGAAACAGCTAAAGAATGTCAGCATTTTGCAGACAGGAAGCAAGGCGGGGACAGCAATGGAGACCAAGGAGGACAAGGTGTCCCAGAGCCATGACAAGAGTCTTAAGTAATCTGCTCACAGGCACAGAACATTGAGCACAGTTCCTGTTGGGGAAACATCCCCACACTTGGAGGTGGTGGGTAGTAACCCCATAAAGGTACTGCTGCAGTGGGCAGGAGATGAGACTATGGGCTACGGCCACTAGTAGGAGGTGGGCTCTGAGCTGCGGAAGGCTTATACCTTCCAAAAAGATCTCCTATGCTTTGCTCTGTGCTCTGCCAGGCAGCAGCAGGACGTTGACATGGGTGGAAGGTTTGCCCCCATATCCCTCTAGTCTGTTCAGAAATGGCCAACAGCTTCTGAGTTGGCACAGGCCCCCCAGCACCTACCGTGCCAACTGGATAGGGTGACAACCCCCTCAGAGTCTGATGTCACCTCACCTTCTCTTGCAGGAAGTATTTCATAGAGAACTAAAGAGCAACTCCATGAAGACGTGGGGCCTGCGGGCCGCCGGCTGGATGGCCATGTTTATGGGCCTCAACCTCATGACGCGGATCCTTTATACTTTGGGTAGGTGTGGAGAGGTGGGGTGGATGGGGTGGGGAGTCCTGTCCCCCCTCCTGCCCCTCTGTGTGCTGTCTTTGTGCATGTCACACCACTGTCTGTCAGCCAGCCCTTCTGACCTGGGGGGCTGCTCCTTGGGGCAGAGAGCAGCATCTAGGCCATGCCTGTGTCCCTACCCCACAGCTGTGGGATGAGTAAGCAGAGGGAGGCAGGCTGGAGGGACAGGGTGTTTCGGGGGTGGGGGCGGGGGGGCAGGTATGGCCAACCCCCAGGAGGGTGGGCTATTCTCTAGGATTTGAAGGTCTGGCTCCACCCTGTCCATCTGTCCACCTGCTCACTGACTTGCTCCTTCCTTCACTCCACAGTTGAATAGCTGGCAGGAAGTGAGCCAGACCTGGCCTTAAAATATGTTGTGCCTAAGTTCTAGATACTTGGCCTTCCCTTTCTGCCTCAGTTTCAGTTACCTCACACCTAACATGCAGAGTTTTAGGGACTCCTTGGTAAAAAGAAAACTCTCAAAAACTGTTACGCTTCCTTCCCCACTCCCAACACCTGGGCTCAATTTGGGCAGCCAGCAAGTCTGAAACGGAAGGGAGTTTGTGGGCTGCTCACAAACTTGGCCTGAGGTTAGTGAGCCCAGTTAGGAGCCCAGGTAGCCTGGCTTGACTTGGGATCTGAGTGCCCAGGGTGACTGAGTACATTCTGGGCCCAGAATGTCTGGGAGAACGGGGCTTCTCAGGGGACTCTCCATGCAAGCCTTTAACCTAGTGTCCCCGTCCAGTCAGATGATTCTGTCCAGCCCTCTCTGGCACCAGCAGAGACCTCTCCCCTGCTTACCACTTACAAGTTGGGAGAGGTACATCCCAGGCTATCAGAGCTGAGAGCACCACCTGCCTCATTTATAGCTGAGAAAATAGGTCCAGGGAAGGGAAGGATACTTCCTTTGCAGCTTTCTTTAGACAGCTGAATTGTGTTCAGAAAGACAAGCCACATCTTGGGCACATTAGGGAGCGATCAGAATTTAAACAGAATCCCTCATGTTGGCTGTGTGACCTTGGACAGGCCAGTTCCCCTCTGGAGCCTCAGTTCCCTCCTCTGCTGTCTCAGAGGCCCTTTTTTGGATCTCTGGCCACCTGTGATCCTGGTTCACTCCGTATCTGTAATGCTGACGCTGCAGACTCAGCATGGAGAGATCCCTGGTGGGGGTGAGTCGGCAGCACAGAAGCACACGTACATTCCCCCATTCGTCCCATAAATACTGACTGCTGTGTGCAAGATGCTGCTGCAGGCCGTGGGGACAAGCCACGAGCAAAACTGACCTCTCAAGGTTCAGGCAGGGGCGTCCAACCTGCAGCCTGTGGACCGCATGCTGATTTTGTGAGGACGTCTTTTGCTTATCTGTGGTGTTGGATATCACCAAAAGTATGCACACTTTCTTTTGCTAATCAGCGTTCATTAGTGGTTGTGTATTTACAACTCCTCTTCTAATGTGTGGCAGAGAAAAGCTCGGACACCCCTGGCTTAGAGTGATAGCACAGAGCTCAGGCAGTCTTGAGTATAAATCCTGGTTCTGGCATTTTTTACCAATAGGACTTAGGGCAAGTCTCTTGACTTCTTGAGTCTCAGTGACCTTGTGGGAAAAATGAGTTAGGAATAGTACCTACCTTACAAGGTAGGCATGATGGTTTCATGAGATGGTATACATAGTGCCTGACACACAATCAACACTCAGAAACATACACTGTACTTAGTGTAAGGCTAAGTAGATCTGCTGCGTGGGAACAGAGGGAGATGAGGCTAAGAAGTGGCTTTCAGGGCACTCTCCAGTCATGGTGGGACACCAGGACTTGCTCTGCAAACCCGATGATACTGGACTACTCGGGCTTCCTGGGAGGATTCCCCTCATGGACATCAGCTGTGGAATGCCAACCTGGAGAGAATAGACAAGGCAAGAACAGTAATTTCCGGTGAATTTAGCTGGATCCTAGACTTTATCCTACTGGCCCAATAGCTTGTGAGAGTGAGGCAGAGGCCAACACTTAGACTACTTTATTTCCTTTAGTACCTGCACAGTGCTGGGCACATAGATAATTGGTAACATCTTGCTGAGGAATGAACAAACACCTTCAGGAATGGCCTAGAGGTCCAAATAGGCACCAGGAGGCTCCACCCACAGTCTCTTTGTGAACACCCAGGAAGCAGGATATTTGCCAGTATTACAGGTGAATGTCTTTATGTTGGCCTCAGGCTGATATCAACATATTTTAAAGTTACAAAGCACTCCGTGTCTTCTACCCTGGAACAGGGCAGAATGGGTGGCTCAGACAGTGTCCTCAGCCCCCTGGCTTATGAATGGGGGCTCTCAGTAAGGGTCATTTGCCTTCTACCACACTGACCTTTCCTGTCCTTATATGGCAACAAGGGCCCATCCTTATCTAGAGACAGGAGTCATCTGAGCCTGTGAGATGTACAGCATGGTGGCCTCGGAGCCTTATCACTTTTCTCTTCCTCACAGTGGACTGGTTTCCTGTCTTCCGAGACCTGGTCAACATTGGTCTGAAAGCCTTTGCCTTCTGTGTGGCCACCTCGCTGACCTTGCTGACGGTGGCTGCTGGCTGGCTCTTCTACCGGCCCCTGTGGGCCCTCTTCATTGCCTGCTTGGCCCTAGTGCCCATCATCATTGCTCGAACACGCGTGCCAGCCAAAAAGCTGGAGTGAAACAGGCCCCGACACCCACACGATACTGCGTGAACCCCAGAACCCACCCCTCACCTCTGACTCAACTCCACGCCAGAGCAGGGACCTGGGTCAGTTTGGGATCCTGCACCTCTCCTCTCTTCAAGGGGCCAGACTTGCAGCTGGCGTTTGGTGTTCCCCGTCCTTTTCTTGCCAGTAGGCAACTTTGATAGGCAGAAACAGCTTGCGAATGGCAACTTAACCAGCCTCCTCCTGCCGGTTTCCTTCCTTTCTCTCGGGACTGTTTCCCTTCTCGCCGTTGATCTGTCAGCAGGGGAAGATGCACAGGAGCTCCACAGAGGCATGCTGCTCAGGGGCTCAGCCTTGCTGCTTGCTGCTTCTCATCTCTGAAGACGAGTGCCAGGACTCTGCCACACCACCGACCACGTCCCTAATCCTCGGAGCCTTTAGCCGATCTGGATCACCAGCACACAGACTAAGCATGTGCCCTGCACACTGGAAACAAGTTTGTGGCTAGAACTCGACTTGGCACTTAAAAAAGAAATACTGAAGATGTCATGATGAGAAAAACTGGACATTTGTTGGGCTTTACACTCATTTCATGGCTTAGCAGCTTTTTAGTGTGTAGGATCTTCAAAGGCCGATTTAAGTTTTTTTTCTTTGTTACTTTGCTGCCTCTTATATGCTTTCCCCAAAGGGGACTTATGTGAAATAAGGTTTAAAAAACAAAACAAAACCCACTTGAGTAATTAACATTTCAGACTGTTACAGGAAACCCCCTTTAAAGTGCCAGTTGGATTTAATTGAGAGCACAGAAAGGTATTCAGTTGAGGTGCAGCTTCTATAACAAGTTACCTCTGTCAGTATGCTGGGTCACTGAGAAGCTTTAAAGAGGATGCTTTTGAAACAAGTGTTAGCAAAAGGATTTGTTTTCACTTTGGGAGATGAGGAACCTCTATGGGGGGAGAAGAGCAGTTCCTTTCATCATCTGGCATCAGAAACTACCTATGCACTTCAAGATGGTTTTGAGTTTCTGGTCAGTCATTAAAAGAAAAGGTTGGAAGCTTTATCCTAAGTGGGCACCTTCATAGAGACCCCAGTGAACCAAAATCAAGAATTCGAAGTCTAAGCCTTGCCGAAGAGTGCCCATCCGGGGCTGCTTCTGAGTGGTTATGTGTTAAGTGTCCATAGCTTTACTCCTTTTAAATAAAATCTATCTGTACCTAAATCACGTAATTTCTCAGTTTCCCAACTACTCTCACAGCCTTTTAAAGTATGATATGATTTCTTAAAAGATTCTTTGTATATCCTTTATCTTGTGTTCAGAAATTGTTTTCTACTTGCTGGAAGTGGTTGCTTTAGCAACTAAGTATTTGGTAGCTGAATAAGAGGTCAGGGCTTCTGAAACTAGCAATCTATAATAATCTCTCTTATCCTGGAATATCTGTGCTATAAATTGATTCTTCAAGTTAGAAAATACAGCCAGCCTGAGGTGATTTATCTGAGGTTCAGGATTGAAATGGTATTCACTACTGCTTATTAAATGAGCAATTTCATCAAATCTCTAGGACTCCTAAAGGATGCTTTTGGAAAACAGACAGTATACCTAGATGATGGCTAAATACAAAATTCTTAGAACTTGGTTTGTATAATTTTTCTAATATGAATTTTAAATTACTGCGAACTTAAAAAAGTGTTGTTAAAGTCCAAAATGTTAAAAATATGAAGGCTTTGGAGAAATTTGTATAATCTTATTTTTGATAAAAATTTGAAATAAATTTCTAAATGTCTTCTGGCATGACCTTGATATCCTGTTTTACAGGTTTGGGGTTTTTTTGCATTCTTAATTTTTTCTTTTTTTTTTTTTTGAGACAGAGTCTCACCATGTCACCCTCGGTAGAGTGCTATGGAGTCACAGCTGATAGCAACCTCAAACTCTTGGGCCCAAGCTTTTCTCCTCCCTCAGCCTCCCCAGAAGCTGGGACCACAGATGCCTGCCACAACACCTGGCTACTTTTTAGAAGGAGTTGTCATTGTTGTGCAGCAGACTCCGACCTGCCAGCCTCGGTGCATGTGGCTGACTCACTACTCACTGAGTTACAGGTGCTGCCTGAAATTTTTATCTTAAAGGATGCAAACACTTTATTAAGAACTAAAGGAATTTTTAGAACTCAGTTCTCAGTTGCTTTTAGTGGTTAAAATAGGTTGTGTTTTTTTTTTTTTTAATGTAGCTGTGCTTGGAAGGTTGGGACAACTCAATATTCCTAGCATTTAAGAGGCTTGAATACTGAAGCCTACTTTGTTGCAGCTTGATTTAGAGTGCCTAACTCACGTGAAGGGGCAGCAGTGTGCTGCAGTGCCAAAGGCATCCCGGATGTGGAGTTAGCACATAGACCTGAGCGCAACGAGTCCCAGGACTGCCACTGATTGGCTGTGTGATGTTAGACAAAACAAAGATCTCTGGGCTTCACTTCAGTTTCTGCATCAGTAAAATGGGGACAATGCTTTTCTACCTCACAAGGTTGTTAGAAGAACTGAAAGAAATAAAACCTAAGAAACACCTGACCTGTGGCATTTAACTTTTCACTCATTTTGTTTCCCTGTTCTGAAGCAATGGTCTACAAATGGTCTGTTCTGGAGCTAAGTTTGAAAAAAGCTACTTATTTGTTACAAGCAGGTGACGGATACCATTACAAAACCTCATGTATTTTGCAAAACCTACTTTTGATTTCCATGATGCCTCCTAGTAGCTATCTCTCTACAGGGATAGCAATGCAGACAAGTGCATTAGCCCTAGGGATCCCGCTCTGGGGCAGGAAGTGTGAGACTGCAGTTCCCACAGCAACCCCAGCCTGTTACTCAACAAGAGTGCCTGCCAGGTTCTTGCCCCGTGAGTCACACCCCAAGTATTTTGTTTCCATTGGATAAAACTGATTCAAATTCTTAATGGTAAATATTTTCTCAAACACAGAAAAAGAAATTCCAAGTGTGTAAAGATGAGTTCTCGGCTTACATGTAAATACTAATCTTACATGTCGTCTAAACCTATCACTGTATCACCTGGATGTTCTTAGCAGATGTAATATCTGAAAGAAGTCAGGCATAGTGGCATGTACTTCATATTCCCAGCTACTCAAGAGGCTGAGGATGGCACAGAATCACTTGAACCCAGGAGTCTTGAGTCCAGCCTAGGCAACAGAACAAGATCCCATCTGTTAAAAAAAAAAAACAAAAAACAGAAGCTGAAAAGAAAATGTAGAGCCATAAGTCTTCTTCGATAAATGCTTTATTTTTCTCCAAATGTTATAAAAGTTATTTCTCTTGACCATCTATATTGCATAGTTTTATAAATTGATCCAGTAATGAATAAAATACAGTTTAACACTGATTCACGTTTACTAACATCTCCTAAACTCTCAATTAGTGTTTTTTCCTTTTCTTCCCTGATTTTAGTTTTGTTCTAGTTTTCTGCCACAACAAAATGTTACTTCAAAGACTAGATCCCAGCAACATGACAACCAGATGCTCTGTGCCTCTCATGGGCTCGCTCCCTTCTACAAAGAGGCAGCAAGAGACAATATTAGTAAAGCTGATTCAGGGGGTAATAAATCCCTGCAGAGAAAGAGTCCCAAGTCCAGGGACAGGGCAAGAGAATACCTGTCTGACAGATGAGGACTAATGGGAAGAAAGGATTGTGCATTCCTAAATGCACCATTATTCGGAAATTTCCCAGTGGTTTCTATACAAAACTGACCACAAACAATTCCAAAGATGGGAAGAACAGGGCTAGGAGGCAGGAGGTTTCCCAGGAAAGTGTTCTGTAATTCAAAGATTAGGTGAGCTTTGGTAGATGAAGTGTTCAAAGTCCCACCCTGGGAGAATGCGGCGAGGGCTGGGGCCAGCCCAGACCTGCAGCAGCCCCTCAACTTGGCCTCCTCTACCCTGGTCCATGCCTGCAGCGCACACTGCTTCTGTCTTCTCAACAGGGAAGGCACCAACACCGGGGCCTGGCTCCCGCACCCCATAGGTGTGGGACCTGTGGGAGACAGCAAGGACCTGGCAGGCACTTGGATCACAGCTTCTCGAAGGGGAACAGGTGGGAAGCCTCTGCTTTCTTTTCCCGTTTGGTTTTCTGGGAGCACTTCGGCTTCTGCTTTTCTTCAGCTTCTCGGTTTTGAGGCCAGGAGGCAGCCAGGATCCTGGCCGCTTCTGCTTGAGAGCTGGTCCCCTCCTCTTCATCAGAAGAGAGTCCACCTCCCGCATCTGCATGAGGAGCTGCTGTCTCAGTCTGGATGGGGGAGAGAGGAGGGGATACACAGCTTAGGGTCAGTGACCAGGTACCAGGAAGCACTGTCAAGAGGCAGTAAAGCTCCCAGGCTGCTGCACTGTGACTCTGGGAAGACAAGGGCACTGGGTGGGATGGGGGATCATAGATCTTTCCTACTGAGAGTTCCTCAGCTCATCCAAGCAGACATTTGAGCTGTGCTGTGCCAACAAGGATGTCCAGGCAGGAAATGCCCTTGAGAAACACAGCGCCATGGCTAGGCATGACTGTGATTGGTGCTTTACAAAAGTACAGCATACTCAGATGCTCAGTACCAACCCTCAGTGCCAAAAGGCCTGAGGAGGCACTCCCTGAAGGCTGGGACAGGTAGGGAGGGCAACAGGGCCCAGTCAGAACATAAAGCCAGCCAGCACAGTGGCTCGTACCTGTAATCCCAGCACTCTGGGAGGCCGAGGCAGGTGGACTGCTTGAGCGCAAGAGTTTAAGACCAGCCTGAGCAAGGCTGAGATCCCATCTCTAATAAAAATGGAAAAACTAGCCAGGTGTTAGGGCGGTGCCTGTACTGCCAGCTACTAGGGAGGCTCAGGCAAGAGGATTGCTCGAACTCAAAGAGTTTGAGGTTGTTGTGAACTATAATGCAGCAGCACCTTACTCGGGGCAACGGAAAGAGACTCTGTCTCCCCCGCCAAAAAAAGGAACATAAAGCCAGTTGAAGGGGTTGCTGAAGGGATTCTAGTAGAATGACAAAAATATTTTTTAAAGGTACACAGGCAGCATGGAGGGTTGGAGAGGGAACAAAACATCCATAGAATGTTCTGCTATGTCTTACATGATAGTGATCACACCACGTAACTGTGCCTGAGGTCGGTCTGTCCCCAAAGGGGGCTCCTTGTGGGCTACATGTCAAATTCACACCTGTATCTACCGGCTGGCCTGGCACACGGCAGGTGCTGTGAGAGGTGTACTGAGTAGGTAACTCCAGACCTGTAGGCCAAGCAGGGTGCATCACACCCAGAGACACTCGGCCCTCCTGACATGGTGTTCATTGCTCACACAGAGAGGGCTTGGAAGGAGGAGGCTGGGGTAGGGCTGGGGCTCAAAGGCCCAGCTGGGGCTGGACTCTAGAACACCTTTCCCAACAAAGGTGAGGCCTCTGGGACTCAGAGACAGAGGATGGAGGTGTCATAACGAAAGCCATGGCTCCATGTCTGGGCACGATGCAGGCCAGTATTCCTGAGCTGTACCTCTGGGAAACTGACCCTGGCTTGTCTTCTCTGCAAAGGACCCAGACTGACCTTGGGCCCATAGCGGAGCTTCAGCCTCTCCCTGATGAGCAATCCTTTGACCAGCACCTTCCAGTGCCCTAGAGCTCGCTTCTCCTTTTTCTGCAGGCAAAAATGAAGTGGGAGAAAATGTTAAGCACTGACATTTTCCCGAAAAATATTAAGATGAAAGCTGTGAACATAAAGATGTAGATGTATATGTACATATAAATATATACACAAACACACAGACACACACACCTTTAGGTTAAAAGATATAGTTTCACAATCATACTGAGTCTCATTTTCAAAAAACTAGTCTGATTTATAAAATACCAGTCCAGATGCAGGCCCATCGTGGATAGTGACAGTGATAGTGCTCGCTCCCCAGCGTGCCACCCCTAAAGCCAGAGAGCTGAGAGAGCGGTAGGCAGTGGGCTCCCGCCTGTAGAGAGAAGGGCTGGGGAGGGCAGAGCCCACCCAGCTGCACCTGCTCCCCCTTCCCTTTCCTGCAGGCCTCGCCCACTCTCACCTCCTTCTCCTTCTTTTCAATGAGTGCCTGCTCATTTTCCCAGGCGCTGAGGAGCACGTCTCTGAATTCCTCACAGACTATGTACCCGTCAGTTCTGTGGGGACACAACATGACAACCTCATTGAGCCTACTACCTGCCCTGCCTCTGTTCCTCCCCTTATGGACGACAGTGGGCCACTTCTGAGCACTCAGGGTCCTTAAGGATGTCCTGGGCCAGCCACTGAAAGACCCCCCCACCCCAGAGGGAAGGCAGGTAGTGCAAAGTGGCACTGCACCCCCTCTGCAGCCCCTGCCTAAGACAGCTAGGGTGAGAGTCCTGCCCCGGCCCCCACCCACAACAGGACAGAGCTCACTGCCCAGGCAACTCCTCAGGAGGTGCTGAGCCCGCTATGCTCACAGGCCTAACACCACCCCTGGGAGCAGTGATTTAATCCAGCATCATTAGAATGCTCGGTTCATTGCCTCTGCGTAGGAGCCAGAATCGGTAAGATGTTAAGGCTGACTTGCAAATACAGTATAAAATCTGGAAGATAAGAACCACTGGGTTTCATCCCCTACAGCCTGCACGAGCTTCCCATTCCCATCTCCCCAACCTCCCTGTCCCAGCATCCAGTCTCCACTGAAGGTCCCTCACGCACACAGGATGGGAGTATCCTCCATGGAAATCAAAGCCAGTGACAGCCTGGACACAGTCGATGCCCAGTTTGCGGGCCACGCGGTGAAGATTAGGCAGATGCAGCTGGACGCAGCCGACCGGCATCATGCTGGGCAGGAAGAGGTACACATTCCCAAACTCATTCCGGGGCACCTGTGGGAGGCATGCCAGGATGTGGCCAGCTGGAGATCAAAGCATCCCCGCCTTGACCCCTATCTACGGCCCTTACCTTCCCGTCTACGGCCACAGGGGGCTGATACTCCTCTGTCTGCCAGTGGCCAAACAGGCCCAGGTCATTTTGGTCGTGCAGCTGGGGCTCCGCATGTCGAGCTTTCCGGGCCCGGTTGGAAAAGCCTTTCACCATCTGGGCCAGAGGACACAGCCGTGGTTCACAACAGAGGCTTCCCAGCCCCTAGCGTTCATTTCACACCACACACTGTGCCCAGGGCTGGATGCCCGTTACCTCAGTCGGTCCTCGCAACACACCTACCAGCTCAGTGCACCTCCGTCTATATGACAGAGAGCACCAGCTACCAGAGTCCCTCTGACCCAGCCATTGTTTTCAGTGCTTTATGTTATTAACTTAAGTAATCTTTTCAACAACCCATGAGGTGGGTCCTATTATCATCTCCTTTTTATAAATAAGCAAGATAAGGTAAATGATTTGCCTCAAGTCACACAGCTCATCAAGGCCACACCTGTGCTTTTACTCTGGTTTTTGGCCTACATTTCTTATGTAGGTTTTGGAAGATACATTTCTTACAAATACCTTAATAAGACATATTTTTTAAAGGCTTATCTCCTCCTCAAATCCTCCTTAAGCCACACAAATGAGACATCTCTGGATTCCTATCGGAGGCACTCACTGGGTAGCTCCTTGTCACCGCCCCTCTGCCGTTGGCTCTTCCTCCCAGCTCTAGTCCTGCACCCCCCGCTCTCCACAGGGTACTCCCAAGCTCTTATTACCTTGTAGGGGACTTCTCCAAGCCTCACCACTCTTGCTTTCTTCAGCCACGTGTCCCTGGAGTGCAGGGTGTGCACACAATCCCTGCAGGAGCCAATATAGAGGGACAAAGGACAAACTCAGCCTCCTATGACCTGGCAGCTCTGCTGATTCCCTTCTCAGGCTCTGCCTTGAGCCCTGAAACCGGCCGTGCTCCTAGGGGACCCAGAAGAGCTACAATGAGCAAACAGCCGTGAACACGGTCTGCCTGTCTGTCTGTCTTTTGGGCATACATGTCTACTTATAAATCCTAACCTACATGGAATTACTCTTAGGCTTTGCACCTTGCCTCCACCACTACTCCCCTTCCTAAGTCTGGCTTTTCTCTGCTAGCCAGTGCCCAGTGACAGCCCCTATGCAGCCTATGAGGACAAGGTGAAAGCCACAGTGTGCAGGACGTTTACTTATGTTTACTCACCACTGAGCCAGTGCCTGCTAAGGGTCTGAACTGCACCTAAACACCACAGGGGTAGGGACAGGTGTCTAGAGGAGGAGGCAGTGAACCCAAAAGATGACTAATGGAAATTAACCATAACAAGCTATCAGAGAATTAAGATACACGCATACAGAACAATCAAATGATTCACGGCAGCCTGTCAGTTTTAGAGACCCCCTGGCTTCTCTCTCCCTTCAGAGCTAATAGCTTACCACAGCTGTGCAATCCTACTTTCCAATGAGCCTTATCGGGGCTGCTTCCACAGGACACATCCACCTCTCTAGTTTTCATCCCTTACCTCTGTCCAGAGAGAAGGGCCTCAGTGAGCAGGGCACCAAGTTTCCTCCTAGTGTAGACAGCAGGCCCTTGTAAGTCTGAGGCAGAATTTCACCATAGTACAATGAACACCAGTCAAATCTTGCCTGTGCCACTTCCTAGCTGGGTGGCCTGGACAAATCACTTTACCTTCCTGAGCCTGAGTACAGACTGTCCCTGCCTTAAGTAATGGTTCAACTCAGGATTCTTCAACTTAACGATGATGCAAAAGCAACACTCAGTGAAGACAGACCATACTTCAAGTACCCATTCAACCACTCCCTTTTTGATTTTCAGTATAATATTCAGCAAATTACACAAGATATTAAACAATCTGTTATAAAATAGGTTTTATGTTAGACAACTGTGCCCACCTGCAGGATAACTCAACTGTTCTCAGCATGTGTAAGGTAGGCGAGGCTAAGCGCTGACGTTCAGTAGGTTAGGCGTATTAAATGCATTTTCAACTTAGGATATCTTCCATCCTAATTCAATGATGAAACTTATATAACTTATTTTCACATTATGATGTGTTTATCAGGACACAAGCCCAACCTAAATCAAGGCGCATCTGTGTCCTCACGTATCAATCAGGGATAATGTGTCCTTTCTACCTCACGTGGTCACTGGAGGACCAGAGGCTTTCTAAGCACCAGAGCAGCACTGCTTTGTCAATAACATCACTCTGTCACAGCCTGAAAGCTCCACGCATGTTCTCACTCGGAGCCAAACACCTTTGATTGCCATAAGGAGTAATTGTGTCATGGTCATGGTCTTCAGACGAGAGAGAGAAAGCAGGGCTTGGAGGGACTGACAGGTAGGCATCCTCTGGAGATGTTCCTAAGGACGGTATCCACAAAGTGGACACAGCTCTCTCAGAATAAATGCCAACTTCCAACTACTGCACACCCATAAGAATAGCTATCACCAAAAACCAGAACATAACAAACATCACTGAGCATGTGGAGAAAGGGGAACCCTGTGTCCTTACTGGTGAAAATGTGAAATGGTACAGAAACTATGGAAATAGCATAGAAAATCCTAAAAAAACATTAAACCATTCTACTTTTAGGCATATGCGCCCTCCTCCAAATGAAAACCAGGTCTTGAGGACACATGTACACCCGTGCTCCCAGCAGCATCACTCACAGGAGCCAAACGGTAGAAGCAACCCGTGTCCATCGACAGATGAAATGATAAACCAAGCAATCTATACACATAATGGAACATAATTCAGCCTTAAAAAGAAAGGAAATTCTGACACATGCCACATCATCAGTGAACCTCAAAACATTATGCTAAGTGAAATAAGCCAGTCACAAAAGAACTATAAGTACTATATACACAATTCTGCTTGTATGTGGTACCTATAGGAGTCCCACTCCTGAGACAAAAATAATGGCTGCTGCCAGGGGCTGGGGGCAGGGGAATGGAGGTTTAGTGTTTTTTTGTTTTTTGTAGAGACAGAGTCTCACTTTATCACACTGGGTAGAGTGCCATGGCATCACACAGCTCACAGCAACCTCCAACTCTTGGGCTTAGGCCATTCTCTTGCCTCAGCCTCCCGAGTGGCTGGGACTACAGGTGCCCGCCACAACACCCAGCTATTTTTTTGTTGCAGTTTGGCTGAGGCCGGGTTCAAACCTGCCACCTTCAGTATATGGGGCTGGCACCTTACTGACTGAGCCACAGGCACCGCCCTGAGGTTTAGTGTTTAATGGAGACAGAGTTTCAGCTTGGGAAAAGGAAATCTTCTGGAGATGGATGTGCTGATGGGTACACAACAATGTGAATGTGCTTAATGCCGCTGGGTTGTACACTTAATGGTTAAGATGGGGCCACTGTGCCTGGGCTTTTTTTTCTTTCCTGTACCTTCCCCTTTTTTCCCTATTTATTAAGAACATCTATATTTTGGTCTTTCATTTCAGTTTTTAAAAATCACTTTTTTTATTTGCTTTCTATTGCTATTTCTCAAAATTCCTGTTCCTATTATTATTTTTTTCTTACCTCAAAATTATCTTAACATTTTTTCAGTTTTCATTTTGTATATATTTTATTCACTTTACTTATTCTACTCTTAGTGACTTCTTTTTAGTGAGATATAAAATACAGTAACATAAAATACATGATTTTAACCATTTTTAAGCACACAGTTCAGCAGCATTAGGGCCACTCACGACGCTGAGCAACCGTCACCACCGTCCATTTCCAGAACATTTTCATCACCTCCAACAGGGCTCTATACCCATTAAAATACTCACTCATTTTAACTTTCACAATCAAATCCTTTACTCCAGGTATGTTTTGAACTTACAGTTACCTGTTCTTATTGTCTTAATTTTTATTTGTTCTACTTTTTATTTTATTTGGACCCATAACTTTTCTCCCCCACTGATCTTCTAATCCTTGTTTTAATTTTCAAGCTTTAACCTCCCCAAACCTCAAACATACAGCACCACATACACACACTATAGCTCACCCCCTAAGAATACTGTTAAGTTTGAGATGAGCTTCCATTACCAGCCCCTTGCCCAGAGAGAAGGTTGCTAATTCCAGACCATCAGGAAGCCCCTGAGGCCAACCAGGCTGCCCACGCACCTGGAGTAGACAGCTTCTCCACGACAATACCCAAGGATTGCTGCTGTCTCAGGATAGATGGCCTCATATTTCAGAAGATGCCGCTTCAAGGCATAGAGAGGGTGGTTCTTATATAAGCCAACCGAGGTGGGCAAAGGCTGGTCCTGGTGTTTTGCCTGAAACTGCAAAGACCCGACAGTGTTGAGCATGTTTTTTAGACAAGGAAATGAAGTTTGAGGTGGATGATCCTCAGACCAGCTGTTTCGACAACAGATAAAGGAGTTGAGGTTTCACAAACACTAATGACTGTAACATCTGTACCTCTGACCATTAAGTTACAGGTTAATCAAAAGCTATGAAGAGTATGTGGCTTGTGGAAAGTTCAGAAAGTCATCTAACCCATTTGCAACCATCAGACACCTTAATCAGCTCCAGCTCTGTCTGGAGCTGATGTCTGCTCTATCACAGATCTTCACGGGAGAAAAACATGCAGCTTTGCTCTGCAAGGCAGCCTTATCACTCTGAGTATTCCACAACGCAGCTCACCCGACTCTGCTCTCACAGGAAACTGAAAGGAACGCCCACACCCTTCGCCTGTTCCCTTGACCCGCTGTACTTAGTACTTGTTCTCGTCGCACTTCTAGGGACTCTGGTTTCTCAGCTGGCAATTCCACTGCTGTGGTTCATACCCTGTTCATTAAGTTTTCTCTTGGCATCTCTTCAAGCCTCCCCCCACCCACCCCAGATCAGGACAGGCAATGAAGAGTAGGCGAGAGCAGGAGGGACTATGCATGCTCAGCTCCACTGATCCTTCTGTTAGTGAGTTACGATACCATCTATATGCTTCCCATTTAACTTGTCATTACTAAATAAAAAGAACCAAGGGCACTCGCGAAGCAAATTCTCAGTAAGGAACAAACTGCAATACTACAGGAAATGCTAAATAAACCCATGCTTTACCAGCTCCAAGTGACTGTAAACATAACCTTCAGCAAATCTGGGTGTGTTCCTGTGCAGACACGTGGAGCTCACACAACAGCACAATGCTGTGCACAGGCAACCAGGCCTTCTTCCCGGTGTCAGTGTTGGTTCCAGACTAAGGGACAGAGCTGCGTTACGTTCTCGAACTCTCTACTTCCCAGTATCCCTTCTCCACAGACTAAAGGTATTTCCACAACCCAGTCCCTTCCCTCCCAGGAAACACACGTCCTAGTGCTCTATATATGGGAGTGTATATACACGCATCTGTGTGTGCACGCACAAGGGGAAAAGGGTAACAGCAGGCTGTGAGTTACTTCTCCTTTCACTCAGTCCAAGTTATATGACTTGCAGAAATTATTTTAAAGCTCCATATTTATAACTGGACATCTGGGCTTCCATATACAGGCTTCAAAGCCACATGGACCTGGGTTCAAATACCAAGTCAGTTAATCTGTCAGCTCTGTAACTTTATTTTAAAATTAAGACAATACTGACGCCAGCTTCAGACTGTTGTGATAAAAAAATGAGATAATATGCTACAAATACCTCACATAGTGCTGGGCATACAAAAGGTTTGTTTTGTTTTTTAATCCTATAATCTCATCGGGTTAAGTCATTGGCTAGAGAACCAGTACACCAAGATGCATAAAGTACTGGGCATAAAGTACTCAAAGATAAGAATAATTTTAGTAATCTGACAGGGTCTTGGAGCCTCTAGCAGCCAAGGCCTTACCTCCAAGTCTTCTTTCTTCTCCCTTTCCATAAAGGGGCTCTGGTATGGTCTCAGGGTCTCAGCCCACCACTCAGCATCCACCCTTAACTTGCGGGTTGCTGTCATCCAGTCTGGGTCGTATCTCTGTGTGACATCTCGGACCCAGCCATCACTGTCAATGCCTACCACATAGGTTATGGGCTTGGTGGCATACCTGTAACAGGTCAGAGGCTGGCCCACTACACCATGCACACAGTCCACACATATCCACTTCTCCTCCTGCTCACAGAACACCTCCAGCCACTGATCTACGCCAGCTGAGCTCCCTCGTGCTGCCTCCTCCCCATCAGTGGACATTTTCTTGCTTCTCTTACTGGTTGAGCTTGATGCTGCTGCTGGAAGTCCTAGGTGCTTACGGTGGCTTCCAGGCTGGGTCCTGGAGGCACTCTTGGACCCAGCCTTTGTCCTCTGAGCCGTGGGCACCTTCCTCCGTCTTGGAAGGCCAGGTTCAGAATCCTCATCAGAGAGGTGATGGGCTTCCCCACTGGAGAGCTCAAAGTCAGAGCCACTGCCAGCATGGTCACTCCCACTCTCCTCTTTATAGGAAACCCTGGAGGCCACCCGCCGCTTCTGGCCTCGTGGACGTCGCTGGGTTGCCTCCTCCTGCCTGCCCCGTGTGCCCTCTTCTTCCTCACTGGAGGAGGACTCACTCCACTTCTTTTTGCCCGCCTTGCTCCTCTTCCCTTTGGCACCTGGAGTGCCAGGGCCCTTAGAAGAGGTTTCCTTTTGTTTGGTTCCTTTGCTGGTCTTTGCTTTGGTGTGGTCTTCTGGAACTTGGCTGGAAGTTTCTGAAAAGACTCCAGGATCCTCTGTAGATCTCTTCTTGGAAGATTTCTTTCCCTTAAGCAAAATAGGAAGGTTTGTTTTGTTTTTTAATCCTATAATCTCATCGGGTTAAGTCATTGGCTAGAGAACCAGTACACCAAGATGCAGAGTCAGCAACTATCCTATAGGGTTGTATGAAGGTATTTAAGCCTGTGGCAGCTTAGAGAAAGCCACAGTATAATTCTTTTTTACTGTTAACTATAAAGCAGAGAACAGAACATGGGATTTGGAAACAGGTAAACCGTTTTGTCTCTTACTTGTTGTATGGCTTAGATAAATTATTTAACCTCTGAGTCTCAGTTTCCTCAGCAATAGCCACCTTGCACATATGTAACTTGCAGACACATAAGGGACTTACACAGTTATAATTTTAAGAATACAGAAATTGGCTCAGCACCCATGGCTCAGTGAGTAGGACGCCAGCCATATACACTGAGGCTGGTGGGTTCGAATCTGGCCCAGGCCTGCTAAACAACGTCAACTTCAATTAAAAAATAGCCAGGCATTGTGGCGGGCACCTGTAGTCTCAGCTACTTGGGAGGCTAAGGCAAGAGAATCACTTAAGCCTAAGAGTTTTAGGTTGCTGTGAGCTGTGATGCCACTGCACTCTATTGACGGAAACAGCTTGAGACTCTGTCTCAAAAAAAAAACAACAAAAAAACCCAGAAATTACTAAAATCAACTCCTAGACCATCAGACTTCAGATGATGCCAACACTTCCAAGGAGTATAACATCCAGCTTCCTTCCTGGAGTGTTTCAAAATTTATAATCCTTCACCCACCAGCACTGCATACTGCTAATGAGGACAGGTACCACTCTACCTCAGTTATAGAAGAGAAACTAATGCACCACGGAGCCAAGATCTCCCCCACAGGCTACTATGTACACATGAACTTCAGATTATCAGATATCCACTCAACATGTCCAAGTCTGCCCTAACATGGGACATGTGCAAGGCAGGCTCAGAGGAATCCATGCTCCATGAATTCCAGCTTTTAATAATAAAATAATGACTTTTTTTTTAAAAAAAACAGTCTCACTTTGTCACCTCTGGTACAGTGCTATAGTGTCATAGCTCATAACAACGTCAAACTCTTGAACTTAAGTGATTCTCTTGGCTCAGCCTCCCAAGGAGCTGGGACCACACGTGCCCGCTACAACGCCCGGCCATTTTTTTGTTGCAGTTGTCATTGTTGCTCTGCTGGCCGGGGCTGGGTTCAAACCCTCCAACCACTGTGCTGTGGGTGCCAAGCCAATAATGACCAATTTTTTTAAGTGTGATAATTTCTCACTCCTCTCTGATCAACTGCCCCCTTGCTCTAGAATCTCTTGAGAACCTCACCTTTGCCGCTGAGAATTTCAGAGGAATTGGCTGTAGAGACAACACCAATCGGGTCAGGAGTTGTAGAGCCCGGAGAATCAGTAAAAATATCTACAGTGAAAAGGAATAACATATTTATCCTAAGAAAATAATTAAGAATTTAATCAATTCAATGTATTTATTGTGAAAAAAGAAAACTGAAAAGCTAGTGAAATATAAAAAATTTTGCAAGTTTACTTAAGAGTAATGTACCACTATTAATCTTTTAGTTTAAAAAATGTACCACAGTTATATAAGATATTAACATTAGTGAAACTGGGTGAAGAGTGTATAGGAACTCTACTATTTTTGTAGTGCTTTTGCAGTATAAAATGATTTTAAAATAAATCATTTATTGAAAATGAAAAAAATGGGGCAGCACCCAGAGCTCAGTGGCTAGAGTGCCAGCCACATACACCGAGGCTGGCAGGTTCAAACCCAGCCCAGGCCAGCTAAAATAACAATGATAACTGCAACAACAACAACAACAACAAAAATAGCCAGGTGTTGTGGTGGACACCTATAGTCCCAGCTACTTGGGAGGCTGAGGCAAGAGAATCGCTTAAGCCCAAGAGTTTGAGGGTGCTGTAAGATATGATGCCATGGCACTCTACCCAGGGTGACAGCTTGAGACTCTGTCTCAAAAAAAAAAGAAAAAAAATTGGCTCCGCGCCCCTAGCACAATGGTTATAGTGCCAGACACATACACTGCTGGCACTCTACCGTGGGCGACATAGTAAGACTCTGTCTCAAAAAAATAAATAAATAAAATTTAAAAAATGAAAAAAATGTATTTATTGTGGTGCTTATTTCTGAAAGGGAAGAGTTGGAAACAAACTGTCTAACAATAGAGACTGGAACTCTTGACACAGTTATATGATGTAACAACTACAAGAGGGACTCACCTAACCTAGTTGTTTATACTCTCACAGTAACCATAAATAAATATATACGTGTGTGCATGTGTAATCACATACATCATACATATATTTCAGTAACCTGCATATATATGTGATTACATCATATACATCACATATATGATATGATGTATGTGATGACTATATATATATGTAATCACATACATGTTTTCTCTTAGAATCATATCATCCCATACATAATATATATATGTATGGGATGACATACATATATACACATCATATATATGTACATACATCATATATATGTATGGGATGACATGTTTCTAAGAGAAAACATGTATGTGATGTATATGATGCAAAGGAATCCATGCTCCATGAATACCAGCTTTTAATAATATAATAATGACCAATTTTTTTTTTTTTGAGACAGATTCTTACTTTGTCACCCCCGTAGAGTGCCATTGGATCACAGCTCACAACAACCTCAAACTCTAGGGCTTAAGTGATTCTCTTAGCTCAGCCTCCCAAGTAGCTGGGACCACAGGTGCCCACTACAATGCCCAGCCAACTGCAAGAGTGACTTAATGTATGGGATGTATGTTTCTAAGAGAAAA